ATATCGTGAACCGAAGGGGTAGCCATAGCGGTTGGAGTAAAAGCCTGGGTAGCCATAGCAGTCCCCAGAGCCATAGAAGCCCCTATAGCCACCATACAGACCCCCGTAGCCACAGTAGTCCCCAGAGCCATAAATGCCCCGGTAACCGTACAGACCGCCGTAGCCATACCGGTCCCCAAAGCCGTAGAGGCCGCGGTAGCCGTAGAGGCCCCCATAGCCCCGGCTGCCGCAGTCGTAACCCCGGTAGAGGCTGCTGTAACCGTAGGGAGAGTAGCAGTCATCCTCGCACTGGCCCTGGAGGAAAGTCATCTTTCTTGCGATGGAGGCAAACCTGCAATGCAGCAGCAGGGAGGAATGCAGAAGTAATAAAAACTTCCAATGACAGCAACGATATCAGAGACCAAAGACAGATTCATTTGTCCCATAAGACCAAGGACAGAAGCAAAATCATGACCAAATTCCTCAGCTCATTATATCCTATTTCTATCATTTTCTCCTCTACCACTTGTTTTTAAACCATTTCTCTTCTCACTTACTGAGGTTGGTGAAAACACTGACTACAGAATATACTTGATACAGATCAAAACCTCCTTCCTGTTTGCTTCAGGATTTTCTTAGAGGATACTGTTAACTCCTAACAATCCTAGTTTTCTTTTAGGTTACCAGCTTTGCCTAGAGCTTTACATTCCCAATTCCTTCGAGAAAGTCTTTAAGCAAGCTTAGTGCCTGATGCCTGCCAAGATAACACACTTGAGCTTTCAGGTCCACTGCTCCAAGTCATATTTCAGTAATTCAGACCAATTTTGATCGTCATCTGGAAATGCAAGAGGCATGGCACATGCAAGAGCCAATGGAGCTTTAGCATGCGTGAGAACATCAGCAAGATGCTCTGCCCTGCCAAGCAGACCTGAAGACCTCCCTTAAAATAAAACAAGGTTTGTGGAAGATCCCACCCAAGCCCACAGTGGGGAAACCCTTCTCTTACTGTGCTGGAGGCAGCTCTACAAACCTAAAAACCAGCGACTTTAGCAGGAAGCTGGACTCCCCAAGGTACCAAGAGAACCGAGAAATTTTCAGCCCTCACCTTTAAAACTTGAACCCGCCAGTTCCTGCAATGCGATTAACACAAATACAAGACCTGGAGAAACCTTACGTTTCAGAGGAGCATTAATCCTGACATCAATTCTTTAAAGCGAAATTTCTAACCCTTAAGAAGAAGCTGAAGGGAGAGCAGGCTTACCGAGTTCACCGGGAGGAGGAAGGCAAGAGAGCTGATGAGGAGCTTGGAGCTCCAAGCCCTTTTTATACTGTTTCTTCGCCCGCCCGGCTTATCTAAGACGCCCTGTATATTCAAAAGGTTTGTAAGCTTATTGGTTGGAAAACAAATTTGCCTGTACGCGTCATATCTCCAATTAATATAATTTTCTTCATTGTTTGGGATTATTAGTGTGTTCCCAGCCTCCCAGGTCACATGTATTACAGGTTTCTTTCATCTTAAAGTTTTCTGGGCCAACTACATTCCTGATACCATTTTATCATCTTCACTGTCAAAACTGGAGTTTATTTTTTAATGTAATATAAAAGTAGCTCTAAGTTCCCAAAGCCACCAGAGACAGAGAAATTTTTGGTTTGAAAAAAGAATAAATAAAACTTTCCCACATTTTGGAAAATATCTGTTGCTCACTAAAAACTTCATAAAAATATATAGAGAAAACAGGCTTCCTGTTTAAAGGAAAGGTAAACATCTCTTGAGATATTTTATATAAAGCTACACAGCGGCTTCAAGAAAGAGAAAAAGCACAAACTACAAATAAATCTTAATTGCATTCCTCCATAGGGTCACGGCGAATAAAAGTCATGCTGCTGCATGAGCAGAAAGCATGTTTTCACCAGAAATATGGCACTGTTTGCACTTTAGTTCACTAGAGGGCTTGACCATGAGTTCAGCAAAGCGGCGAATACAAGTACAAACTTGGTCTGGAAAATAATAAATGATAAGGAGCTTGCAAGATGTTTTCCAAGGAGCCCCATTAATATTTTCCTCGCCAAGGAATCAAACGTATCAAACAAGGAGGAATGCTGGAGTTTGCTGCAGAACTCCTTGTATGACCTTCACCTCATTTCTGGCATTAATTTGAATATAAAATAAGGGTAATAATGAGCAAGCAGGATGTTGAGGCTTCCTCAGAATTTTGAATACCAAAGCGCTTCATAAACACTCATTAATGTTTTCAATTTGCAAAGTGTTGCAGGATTTAAATATTAATAGTTTGTCACCGAAAGACACCCCCAGATTTAATAATACGGTCACAAGACACTTCAAGGTCTCTCGTTTCTAAGTCCTAATAAGGCAATGTGTTACGTCTTTTATGAAAGTCAGAATCTATTTAAAAAAAAAATTCTTCTGAAACAGGCAGAATATTCGGTAATATTCACAATGCAGCTGAAAAATTTCTTCAGAATCACTGCGGTAGAACCCGAGAGGGGGGAAAAAATAAATAAAATATCAAACGAAAGGAACTGGCAAGAGATCCTCACTAGTATCTCCGGGCAGCGTGTTAAGGTCATGACGACACGGAATAGAAGTGCGGCTACATTTCGGCACACCAAAGAGATGCCTACTCCTTTTGTCCTCTACGTGTTGCACCATAGGCACAAAAGCCAAGCGAATGGAGCACCTTCGAGCAAATTGCGCAACCAGTAATGGCCTAAACATCTCTCAAAATTAGTCCTATCCATCCAACTACAAAGAATTCCACGCCATTTTACCAGAAACGCGCTGAGCCATTTCTTCTTGTTTTAAAATGAAAGAAAATCTCGAGGTATTATACGTGTGTCATCACATCAAACTCGGAAAACATGAAAATCACCGACTCCAATTACATCAATTGGAGGAATAACGCACGCAACAAGATAGGTTGTATAACCAACACCGAAGATGAAGAAGGTATATATACGGACCGACAACTCCAGAATTTTATTCGCTTCTCTTGAGATACTCCCCTCAGTGAACCAGGTATGTCAATACTGACTCTACTCTCTGATATACGTATGCTTGCGCTTATATATGCCCATGTGTTTGTACATAATTTGTGCATGCATGGATATATGTATATATATAAAATGGCACTGGTGTGTACATATATGTATGTGACATGTATAACATGTGTCTATGTATATGTACAGACATTCTGGAAGCAACTTCTTGTCATTTTGGAGCTAAAGTCAAACACAAGATTCTCTGCAACATCCAGGAATTCCTTCGCTGAAACATTTTTTGCTTGTTTAAAATTAGGTTTTAAAAGCACTGAAAATTCCAAGTTTACTGCTAACAGTTCTGAAGTCATAAGGCATTTCCAGCTCCAGATTATTTTCCTTAAGTGTTGGGACTTCAAATCCCTAGACAAAACCGTCATGAAATATTTTCTACTTTAAGTAGACAACCTGGAAGGAATTTCTTCCATTTCATTGCATTCTTTGAGTTTATCCCAGGGTGAGTGGCATGCAGCACTACAGCAGATAAGGGGACACGTGTGATAGGCTGTTGGTCTTACATGAATAAGCATCAGCACGTGAACTTTTACTTTTTTCTTTAATTTATTCAAATTTCTCTGACTTCTGGGGTGGGAAAGTTCAGTTTTCGGTAAAAAAAAAAAATATATTTTGTATATATAGTCAGCCATCCTCAGAAGTTGAGGGAAAAGAAGCAGAAAAGCTGTTTGGGATTCAGGAGGTGGGGAAAAATAAATGAGACAAGAGGGTGAAAAAGCCCTGCAGGAAGGCCTGAGCTGCATTTCCTCAGCTCTGCCCAAGCTTGGAGCCTTTCCTCCTGCTGTGGGCAGCCCAGGAACTCACCTGCCTTCTGGGGCTGTGTTTCAGGTCTACCCGCATCAACAAACGATGACTTTCTACAGGGACCTCTGTGACGACGGGTCCTATTTGTCATTCGGTTATGAAGACTCCTATGGTCTTGGGGGCCTGAATGGCTACCGTATGAGCTACGGCAGCCCATACGGCTACGGAGGCTTCGGGGGCCTGTTTGGCAACAGAGGCTTCACTGGCTTTGGGAGCGTCTATGGGGACGCCTATGGATTCGGGTATGGCTCCCCCTTCTTTTCTGGTCTTGGAAGCAGATTTCGTTTTTAAAAAAGCTCTCCATGCTGAACCAGCAGAGAGAGCAACCAAGAAATGAAATGCAGGACACGGATTCACGGCTAAGGATACTGCACTGAGAAACACCGAGCGCCCACACCTCCATGCCTCAGCAGGACACGTGGGTGCCAGGCTGCTACCCTCTATTATCTCCTGTTTCTTCAGCTGTTACTCTAAAGGGCAACTTGAATTTACAGCAAGTACCAAGGCATCTTTGCAGCATGTTGATGGAGTAAAGCAAGGATGTGAGGTGTGAGTAAAGTGCCTTCTAAGTCAATTCATGGCCACTTTGTGTTGCCGTAGTAATAGGGGTTGCTGCAACTACCACTTTACTCAGCCATGAACTTCACCAGAGATGACATCTACTAGTGAATCTCCTGCTATATGCCCATGCTGTGCCTCATGTGGCAGGGAACACGATTTACAAACAACTCTGCGAGCAAGAAACATGTCTGGACTGACAAACTCCACCATTTCCACAAAGAAAAAGAATCATCCACCATCAGACACACTCCACTCGCTGAAGACCCTTTTATAAAACTGCAACCTTATTCTTTCTGCTACTCACTCTTTCTCTTTCTCATTAAAACTACTCTGCTCAATGGTATCAGATGTCCAGTCTTTTCCTTTTGTTTGTGCCCACACTCCTTTGCAAAGGGACCGGCAGCACTGCCCCTCTAACCAACCATTCAATGAGAGGGAGCTCTAGACTCCAGATATTAGAGAACATCACCACATCTCCACGTGAAGTGCTCCAGCCTCTCCTCATCTCCCTGACTGTCTGTATTGCAAACACACACATTCCTGAAGCAAGCTGGGGTTTGTGCTTGAAAAATAACTTTTAAAAGCAAGAGATTGAATGGAAGTCTCATGGTACGCCAAGGAAAGACAGCAATGACACTTGAGGTTAAGGACACCCAAGGTTAAGGACACCTAAGAGAAAAGACCAAAGGCAACTGAGCCGTAACCGTCTTGCTCCTTTGCAAACTGAACAGCCAGGTTATTCAGGGAGTTCCTGTCAGCCTCCACCATGTCACCTTAGGAGACTGAGTAGTCTTGATTTAAGATTTATGATATTAAAGATTATAAACTGGCACGGAACAAGGTGATTCAGTGAGCATAGCCTAGACAAAACTGCATGCATCCCATGCAAGCCCAGTTATACATCAAAGACATCACCAGCAGTCAAAAATCTTGGAGCTGAAGTGACTGTGAAGGGGCACCTCTGGGCTGATTTTCAAGAGATACCCTACATGGCTGTCGCTTCTCTTCTCATGGTGGCCACCTGCACAAGTATTTCTGCATTCCTCAGCTGACAGGAAAGGGTCGAGAAAATAGCTAGCAGAGAAGATGGGAGTAGCACTTTAACAGGCAGAGAAACAGAAACACTCAACAGAATAGTTCCCCAGGTGCAAACACTGTTCATCTAGTCCAAAGTCCATTTTCGTACATCCGAGTAATTGCTTAAACCATTTGACCCTGAACTGGACCGTAGCGGAAGATGAGCCCCATGGATCCATTTCCGTGTCTAGGAAGGCGCTGCCACAGCCAAGAAATAAACCTGGTCTGCTGCCTCATTGCTTGGAGCTCACACCTTTTTGTCCTAGTTTGAGCCAGACCAAGATGTCCCAAAAAGAGGGTAAGGGCAGCAACCTCCACCCTAGCCTCCTAGCAGGGCACGTTGGCGGTTAAATCAGCACAAGACTTTGAAACTGGAAGAGCTATTAGGGCAGCTCTTGTAATCCTTCTGCTAGCTGTTGTCAGCAGCAAAAAGGGTTGGGCTCCCCAGGGAAAACATGAAGAAATGGTAGAGTCTCCCAGCATGACAAATTCAGCTTATCTCCCATGGATGCCCTCTGGCACACGAGGCTTTTCCCACCTGCACACACAGAGCAGGAAGGCTTAGAGAGATGCAGAGGAAGAGAGACAGATTAAAACACAGAAAGCCCAAGATCCAGCTGAAAGTCTTGTGCTGCCCAACATGCTTCAGCTCCAACACCAGGTTCCAGCCCACACTGGCCAACACAGCAGTATTTGTGAGGTTTCTCCACCTCATCCCACTCGGTTCGTTACCGGAGGTACCGACACTTCCAGCAGTGGGGGCAATCGCTGCCCAGTGCCTGGGGAACATGGCCCAGGGGCTGTCCCAGCCTTCCCAGACCTGTCACCTCCTCCCTCCACCACCTCTGGTTGCCTCAGATCCACCTGGGCATCAGCTTTGAAGATGTCACCGCTCGGGTCGCAACTCCAGCTCCACACACAGCATTGGGAGTGCCCCGAAGCGCCGCGCTGCCGTCTGCCAGCCAAGGAACCTCAGCCCTCCCTTGCTCTCCTCCTGCTCGAGGGATCCAGGGCACCGCCAGGATCTCCTGCCCTGTATGCAAACACCGGAGGCGCAAGCACCACGCAAGAGAGGGAAACCAGTTTCTCACCCCAGGTGCCCCTACCACAGGGCTCTCAACCTCTAGTTACCAAACAGGGACGGGGTCATTTTGTTACCTAGTCATTCAAGAGCATCAGAGAAATTCAAAAAGTCCCAGATAATTGCAGAATTGGGGGCCGGACCATTCCCCAGTCCTCCCAAACCTCAGTCCATAAGCACTGATGCTCATTTCCCATGAATCCATCTTAATGTGAAGAATCTCCAAGTTTCTCCTGCACCTGTGCAGTGGTATGTGAAGACCGTTTCCCCCATTTCATAGGGTTTTATGCCCTAAGGCTTAAGAAAAGTTGGATGATTAGAGGAACTCTGGGCCTGCCTATGAGATATTATCAAAATAGATGACAGATGGTTAATTTAGCTAACAGAAAAACCAACTCCTGTAATTTCTTTTCAACTTCTGAATGCCAGGCTGCAGCAGGATGTATTTACTCCATGCGTGTGGGAAATTACCAATTTAAATGCACCTTGTGAACAACCCACAGACGAGGCATGCCACAGGACATGCCTGCAGCACATGCAAGAGCGAGAGTCATTTTTAACGAGTAAGCTTATCCCAAATGAGAGATTGGGCCCCTGACTGTTGCACAAACTGGACTAGAACATTCTTAAAGAGTGTAGTGTCGCAATAAAGCCTTTTAAGAGAAGGGAAAGTGGACTATGGTATAGAAAGAACTGCCATACCAGAAGCAAGAAGCATTTCAAAATTCACCCTGTTTAGATGAATATTCTTATCCTGCAATGCAGTAATGAACCTAAACAGCATTAACAAACATTTCCGCTATCTTAACAAGACAGCGGTAGCTTCTTAGTATGATACTTGAGAGCTTTAGTCATCTGGAAAGCCTCAGAGGATTTCACATAACTAGCTTTTATACCAAAAATGAATAAAAGGTATATTACAAATAGTGCCACAGAAATCCACTGCCAAAATTTTCTGATTTTACTGACACCTGGTGCTTTGTGATAACTGCAAGTCTCCACTTCTTACATAGAGAACCACAATTTCAGAGGCCGCAGTAATAAACCTCATCTCATTTCCAAATACACCATTAGCATAACAATAAGGATTCCTTCACCTGGCCTTTGAGGTTTGGGGGATTTCTTCTTTGGTAGGGAAGGATTTATGCGGTTGACGAGAATCTGGTTTCATCACCTCATCTAAAACTCACCAACAGCCAATTACTCACTATTACAATGCCTGGTCAACTTTGTTTTCCTTACACATAGGGATAACAATTCTCCAATGAGTAACTACTACAAAACAACTCAGTATTCCCATGCCAGCTTGCAACACTGTATTATATTGTTTCTGAAATGAAGTATTAATATGCCACATAACATCTCAACCACGTATAGCTGCACGGAAAGTTGATGAACTCTTTATTATCAATATATTCCCAAAGAAATCCTGAATTCCATGAATTAACACCATCACCCGCTCTCACACGCAGAGGTTACGTTGTCGAAAAAACTCTGGGCAGAGCAGTAAAGCCAGAAATTTAATTTCTATCCTCAAAACCAGCTGTTCTCATGCAACTTAGGCTTCAGGTTCTTCGTAATACCAACTGTCCACGCACCTCTGCTCTGATGCATTATATCAGAGCCCAGATGGGAAGGCTGAGCCCGAGGACACCAGGTAACAGGTAACACACACTGTGCCAGAAAAGGCAATATCGGGGCAAGATCTCCCCAGAGCTGAGCAAGACCAAGGAACAACAAAAGCAAAGATGCAGGGCAGCAGCTTCACGAAGGCACAGCTACAGCGTAGAGGATTGCTGCGGAAAAGAAACGCAAATGCCACCCACTGCCAAAACATCTCAGGAATATCATTGTCCTGAAGCAGATCGATGGGATGGATTCGGTGCCGCAGGACAAGGGAGGAGCAGAGGGGAACAGGCAGAGACACGCACACACGCGCAGAGGCCAACGCCATGTTGCAATGTCATGTTTAATGAGAAAGAAGCAGATCATACAGAGCCAGGATTAGACAGTACAGATTACAAATCGCCCGCAACCTGTGGTTTGATGCAAGATGATTCACGTAATAACTGATGTCGCTTTCCTTTTGAGGCTCTGGGTGGATACTCAGCCCTGATCATAGCAAGACATGTACATTACAGAAACAGAGATAGGCTGGCTGACACCACAGTGCTTTTTTTACACATTAGCAGCCGCTGAAAGAGTCTACAACAGGATCTGAAAGAGATGTCGTACCAGACCCCTTTAGATTTCCACAATGATTCCTACAAGCCCACAAGGAATTAGCAATATGGCCCACAGCATCAAACTTGGAAAGACAGAAAGGCATTAGAAAATCAGGAAGGGTAATCAGAGAAGGATACAAATGGATTTTTCAGAAGAGCTGAGCATCTATAGATGCATTTAATGGTAGTCCCAAGCTCTCATACTTTCCTAAATGCTGAGCCCTAGAGCTCAACCCCCACACCTCCACCCTGCTTGCCATCTCCTGGACATTCTTCTTTCAGCAGCAACTCTCACTAGGTTTAGCACGGTCTACAACTTCCAACGGGGTATCCCCGTCCCCATCTGGCGCCCCCATAAACATGGGAACCCCCAGGAGCCCGGCCAGCATTGAAGCCAGCTCCAACTTCAGGGGCTCCCGCAGATCCCACGATGCTCTGCTGAGGGAAGGTGCTGAGGATGGGTCCAGGGAAGGTCACGACCACCGGCGGCGGGTAGATCACCACCTTGGAATCAGGACACTGTCGAACACAGGGCTCATTGCAGCTGTCGGCGATGGGCTGCGGCACAGCCACCCCACATGGGGAGGCGCTGCCGTCAGTGCACGGGCTTAAGGAGTGCACCATGTCTCAGGGGTGGGGCAAGAGCGGAAAAATCAGGCACAAGTTCTTAGCAGTTTCATGACTGGGCAATGCAAAAAATAAATAAATAAATAAATAAATAAATACTATCAACAGGAAAAGGAAAAGCTGAATTTTCATAGCTGGGTTCCTAGGAATCACCTATAAATCTTGTATTGAACACAATAAACCCTGGAAATGAGTTTTCAGGAAAAAAATTAATTGGAGTTCGTCATCCAGGATCTGCATTTACCAAAGCCAGTCACAAATTCAGTAATTTACACCAAGAAAACCTCATACCAATATCAGAATATTTGCACAGGACTCACCTTGACTTAAAACTACAAGCAAAGGCTTTGGTAGAAAGCAGAACTCAGACAGAACTTACCTACTTCACAAGAGAAGTAAGACAAGAGAAATGACTGTACAAGATCTGATGCTGAGCACTTTTATACTCGCCCTCAGACTACCCAAAGCATGAATCACCGATGAGTGTAACAACCTAATCAATTACTAAACACATTTATTTTGAGCCCTAACTTTGTTAATGAATGTCAATTGTTTGAAATAAATCACCCTTTGTAATTATTAGCCTACCCTTCTACTCTGTATGACCTGTACTTTATTACCTTCCAGCCTCTGCTATTTCAAAACTTGATGTAGGGGGGATACTCTGCCTCTAGATGTTGAAGAAAGACAAAATATTTATATGGTTCATGCTTGATGTCCTCCTTGAATGGATTTGTTCCCAAGCCAGCGGCCAAAAGCCATTTGTTTGAAAGAAACCGTACTTATCTCAGCCCAGCAGATGTTGCAGAAGTGAGGGATAACTTTTTCTCTCAACCCAGGGGTAAGCCAGGTTCATGTGGAAAGCCTGGCCAATGCAGAAATACTGAATTTTAGAGTTATATATCCAAATAAGTCAGTGCAGCTCTTCCAATTAGACACAAACATGTTTTTTCTTCAAACATGCCAGCTTTAACAAAAAAAAAAAAAAAAAAGGAGAGGGGAGGGGGAAGGCTAAGGTCATGTTTTATATGAAGTTAATGTCCCCTACTATGAGGCTTTAAATCATGGCCTGATTAGGGGAAATGGCAAAAGGACAATAAATAGGGTGTGGCTTAGGCAAGACCCCGTCAGGCATTTTTTTCCAGTGAGTCGCTTCTTCAATAAAAGGACATCCAAAGCCATTACACCAGTAACGCATTGTACAGATGGAATATGCATTTTGGAACCCCAATTGCCACCGCTGGCGTGGGGTTATCATCCCTGTTAAACAGCAGCACGAGGAAGACTTTGTGACACTCAGCAGCAAAGTCAGCACAAGATGCCAAGGATGGCAACAGCATGTGCCACACAGGCACTCCCATGGGGCCACAGCAGGTCACAATCTGTCCATTCTGGTTTACATGTCATTCTCCTTAAAAATAAAGATATTTTGCTGCTTCTGTAGTAACAGAGAGTTTGGGCTCTTCTGTTCTACCGAATCTCAGCTCAAAGCCTTCTCTCTTTCTCCCAGCAGCAGCAAGGAAAAGCCTTCCTTCGGTGGAGCTGGAGGTGGATGTGGTAGCACTGCAGAACAAAGTTCTCCCCTTCCAAGGAATATCAGAGAAAACTTCTTGCATCTCATCAGATTGGCAGCAAAATGTCTTTGGAGGGCAGGACGAGACCCCATTGCATTATACTCAGTTTCTACTCTACCGGAGTGTATTTCCACAGCAATGGGAAATGACTGGGATGCTTTCCTACTTTGATTGCTCACTGGGATTTGTCTTCATAGCTTTTGAGGATGACAGAAGATATTCGTAATTCCTTTGGAATATTGGCTCTGCCTTTTCTGTAACTGAAGATAACCACGCAAATGGCAACACGTGTCTTGATCTCAGCTTCAATGGGATAGCAATTTATCCCTAAAGTCATTCCTCAAAAACAATGGAATGAAATACCTAATTACTCTTTGCATCTTAGCCAGTTGAAGAAGAAATGAAACGTTATTTTAAAAATGTATTCATAATTCTGCCTTGAAAAGTCAGTATCTTCAGCGTGAGAGGAACCCACACTACTGGGGTTGGTTTCCTGTTGCAGACTGCTTGGGGTTGATGTCACTGCAGGTTCCCTTTATCTGAACATAAATGTTAAGGATGCTGACAGGAGGCATGTTGATGTCTTCTGAAAGCATTTTCAAAGCATGCCATAAAAGCTCATTAGTGTTCCACACAACTGATGTTGTCACAGGTATTTCTTTTTTAGCAAGAGCATTACAACTGCCAGCTCAAACACTGGCAGAGAAGACAAGGAAATAAAAACGATGAGTCAACCGGTGAACCACAGCCAAAACTCAGCACCTAAGGAGCACGTCCGTGAGGAAGTAGCACAACAGAGCAGTGCACGGGTCAGCTCCATTTACCAGTTAAAACAAAGTTAAGAATCAAATCCCACCACCTTAAAAACAAAAGCTACCAAACACAAAACCCATCATCTTCGTATCCATCAGGAGACAGGGAAAGGACTGAGGTGCAGGTAAGCCATCAACACCTTCAGGCATTCAGAAGATGCTGACAGGACACATTCATTCCGTATTTAAGCAAAATGTTAAGGTTCTTCAACAGACTAGAAGTCCTCTATTCATGAGAATAAACAGGAAAATGTAGAAAACCTCACAGGACCACGTGAGAGCTGGGGAGCTGTCTCAAGACACCCATTTAATTACACCAATTCAAAAATGCAGGCAGAGATCAAGAACCCAATCCACCCCTGAGACCACTGAAGCACCACAACAAATAGAGCTGATTTATGAAGACTAAAACTCCAGAAGTGTGTGTGGTCTAGCGTGCACACCACAGAAACCTTCAGAATAATTACATCAATTACATCCTGGCTTTGGCTAATAAGGACTTGGTGTCCCAAAAGGTGTCCTCTCCATCAGGCAGACTAGGAAAGTTTATTAAAGTAATTTGAAGCTCAGAGCTTCATGTGTTTCTCTTGGTTTCTCCTCCTCATGTGTCATCAGCTCAACTGCTTCATAACCACCATAGTACAGCTAAAGAGAACGTGACTTTGAAAGGCTTCACACATTTAATTTCACAACAGACTTGGGAAGCCATGTGGGGTTTTTTCCCCCCACTTTGTCTTAAAGTTAGCAACACCACAAAGGCTGTGGAGAAACAGCTGTTGCAGAGGGAGCTGAACTTGTTTGGGACTGTGCAAGTGTGCAAGTTTTAGAAATAAAACCTACTTCAGAATGAGCAGCCATGCAGCTTGGTGCCCAGCTTGCAAAACCTCCAGCTCAGGCTCATTGAGCTGACTCTCCATTCCACAGAACAGCTCCAAAACTGTTCTCCGTCCACTTAACCAAACCTACCACTGTCCCAACCTCAAACCACACAACAACACTGTATTATTGTGCAGAGAATGACACACTTTGCCATAACTGAGCCTTCCATTAGGTCTTTTGTAGATGGAAACAGCTACAGAGACAATGTACCTTGAAGAAAGTACTGTTCTTACTGCCCATATCCATCGCTTCATCCCAAAACAGGGGCTGCAACAATCGGAGAACCAGAGGAGAGAGAACCAGAGGAGAGAGAACCAGAGGAGAGAGAACCAGAGGAGAGAGAACCAGAGGAGAGAGAACCAGAGGAGAGAGAACCAGAGGAGAGAGAACCAGAGGAGAGAGAACCAGAGGAGAGAGAACCAGAGGAGAGAGAACCAGAGGAGAGAGAACCAGAGGAGAGAGAACCAGAGGAGAGAGAACCAGAGGAGAGAGAACCAGAGGAGAGAGAACCAGAGGAGAGAGAACCAGAGGAGAGAGAACCAGAGGAGAGAGAACCAGAGGAGAGAGAACCACCAGAGGAGAACCAGAGGAGAACCAGAGGAGAACCAGAGGAGAACCAGAGGAGAACCAGAGGAGAAATCATTCCGGTTGGAAAAGACCCTTGGGATCATCAAGTCCCATCATTAACCCTATCGAGTCCAACCATTGACCCTACACTGCAAGTTCACCCCTAAACCACATCACCCAACACCACATCTAAGCGACACTTAAACACATCCAGGGATGGCGACTCAACCCCCTCCCTGGGCAGTCTGTTCCAGTGTCTGACAACTCTTTCCGTGAAGAACAACAGTCAGTATTGTGGGTTATGAGTGAATTCCCCTTTATAATATGCAAACTTGTACCATATTTACTAGTTATGTAAAATCAGGGAGCTAAACCACTAAATTCAGCTGCCCTTTTTCTAAACAGATATTCTGACCTGAAAAGAGGGGGGAAAAAACAACACATAGAATTTTATTGAACCACAGACCACGTCTCACAGTATGACGTGTATCAGAACCTCTTTTACCCCACACCTCAGCTTTACTGATAAATTAAGATGGTCCTGACAGGCCCCGTGCCTTTGCAGACTCATGGTTACCCATATATGAAACAAGAATAGCACAGGCAGAGGTTATTAAACAGCATCTTTGTAACAAGATCTCTTAAAACTGCTCACAAACGCTCATTAATGTTTTACATGAGCTAAGCTCTTCAAGCTGAACTCCATTATAATGAACGCCAGCACATACCCAATTTAAAGGCTGCGTCTCAAGACGTCAAAGGCTACTAATTACATCACGTGTGGGGAGCAGTTTGCCTTCTGACAGACGAGCAGAAGGCACAGGTACAGGCACAGCTGATGCCTGGGTGCAAACCAGCAGCTGTCGGGATGGTCACAGAATAAGAAAATGGGGTCACTAAGAAAAGAACTCCCCCTCTGCTAGCACTAGAGCCCTGGAACAGGCTGCCCAGGGAGGTTGTGGAGTCTCCTTCTTTGGAGACATTCAAAATCTCACCTGGACACATTCCTGTGTGATCTACTGTAGGTGATCCTGCTCTGCTGGGGGGTTGGACTAGATGATCTTTTGAGGTCCCTTCCAGCCCCCAACATCCTGTGATTCTGTGTGACTGGGGCACTCTCATCTACTCCAACCTGGTAATCCCTCGTTTCTCCCCAAAGGAACCC